TTGCAGGGTTTGGATTAAAACTCCAATAATCAAGCTATGTTGAAAATTAATTCTTCGATTTGACTATGTAGATGAACGTAGGCGTAGAAAATCGTTACATACGCTTTAAAAACTCCACACAAATTATATTTAAGAATAAAATAATCATTATCAAACGATTGAAGACGTCACATACAAATAAATTCATTTGCGTCATACCTTTTTAATCTTTAAATTACAAAAGGAACACAATTTATATAACGAAAATAGTCACTATTTACTATAATTATCGTATTTTGAATACGTAGAAAATATCGTATGACTTCACTTTCCGTATGTAATAATATAAAAAGGCAAGGACGTTTGTAAAACGATTCTTTTTCAAAAGATGAAATTACAATCCATTATTAGATTGTAATTCAATCGACAAAGCCGCTATTGTAATTTTTATCTGTTCATCTATTGATTTGTAATTGGATTTTTTTTATTTGTTAAAAACAAATAAATCACGTGCAATTCGTTCTTGACCAACTAAAAACTAAAACGTTTCACTCTAAAACTAATTTAAATTAGCGATAACGTCAATGTCGCTTTTGTAAAACGAATACACGTTGACCAACACACGAGGCTTTTTGTATAACAATGTGATGTTATTCCTTAACTTTGCATAAGCAATCGTTTTCGAATTATTTGTTTATCTCTAAATTGTTTTTGATTACTTTTATTAAGAAATTTACTATGTATTATATGTTCTTAATTCATCTGATAAATCTAAAAATAGTATTAAAGTACACGACCTACGCAAAGATGGGTTCTAAATCAGTCACTTAAAGAAGAGGACCGATTTATTTAGAACGGTTAAGGCTGAAAATATAAACGAAATGTTAACGCACTGCAATTGATGTTGTTTAACATTAATTAAACGTTTCAATGCACGTTTACGCTTGTTATACACAAACGAAAGAAAAATTACCATCCGGTGCGATTATAAATAATGCAAATGCTAACTTTAATACTTGATCTTGACTTTGAAATCTTTAACATTTTATGATTGGCGTAAAACTTGTTTGCAACTTTTATTTTATAGTGGTTAAGTTACATCAGATAAAAATAATTTAATGATTAATTATTTATGAAAATTATGGTTTGCCTAAAAAAAACGTTGAATGATTTAGTACTTTTTTCATGGTATGATAAAAAAATTATAAAACAAAAAAAATAAGGTAATTATCAAGCAAGATTATGATTACGTAATTTTTTTTCTTTTGCGTAATTTAATGATACAGGTAGTTAAAACCTTAAACTTTACCCATTCTTAATGGAATAACGTAACCAAAAAAAACCGCGACTAATTCACTTTGGTCATCATGTGAGATTTCTCAGAAGATTTCGTAAAAGGAAATGAAGCAAATAATTTCAGAACCAAACCCACTTTATTATTATTTTTAATTATCTTTTTTTGAAGTATGTTGAAGAGCAAGTAAAACCCAGGTAAACGAACTTTTAATCTGTAACCCGACAACCAAACCAAGGTCTCAACTACAATAAAGTCTGAAAAATGATTAAATTATTTATCTCACAAAAGTTCTCCTTGAAACATGTTTTATTTATATTTTTTTAATGAATTCACACATCCGTTGTTGATAACCCAATTTATTTACTGATAATTTTATATTTAAATTAACATTGAAGGTAATTTTATGATTCAAATTGTTAAATAAACGATTTTACAAATTAGTTATTTTAAATTCACGACCTACAACAACGCAAAAATTACTGACCGAAAAGAGCCGGCCATTCTTTTGTATTAAAATTTAAAACGGCAAAAACAAGTACCATTGAAACGTAAAAATTGAATAAAAAATGTGGTTTTGAAGCGTGAAGTGTGCATAATTTAGTTAACAATGGTCGGCGAAAACATGTTTTCGAATATGACGAATACAATGAGGAGAAGTCTTAATGTTTGTTACTTAACCTTCGTCATCGGCATTATTACTTTGCAATCTGCCTTGTCTAGTTTGACGGTAATTTGCATGTTAAAAAAACTCTACGTCATTAATTTTCTCGTCAGTGTGGAATAAAACGATTATTTTATTTCAATTTTTATTGTTTTTTCTTGATCAATAAACAATTTTATTGTTTGAGATTTATAAGGCATATACAAGTGGAAAAGTACTATAATCGTGCAAAAATTCGACCTCCTTCTTGTGTAAAATAACTACATGTGTGAATGGCAAGAAAAAAATTGTTTATAGAATATGTTTTTGTTACTAGCTCCATATTATATGGATACTAAACTACAAGTCCTTCTAAGGATGCATTTCCATATTAAGTTAAGGTCGCTTCTGGCCGAGGAGCTACAACCTTAACATATCGATACTAAACTACACAATTTTTATGGCTGCACATTTTCACTAAGCTGATGTCGCTTGTAGCCCAGGCGCTACATCCATAACATATTAATTCAAATATGCACGACTTTTAAGCATTAATTTCCTAATTAATAACATAAATAAATAGTAGTCTTGCAGATATCATTTTGTTGTATCAATACAAACATTTTTCATCCATAACATTTTTTCCTAGCATATTTAGTTTTTGAGTTATTAAAATATTTGTTCAAAAACGTCATTTAAGGGATTTTGAAGTTTTATGGTTTATAACTAAAAGGATGGAACATTTGTAGAAAAATTTCTTGTGGATTATGATTTTGTGGTTTATTATAAACAATTTTCATCAATATAATTCTCATCCATAATTATTAATTGTTGAGTTAAACATCGTTTTTTCTGCTAAAATCATAGATATTTAAATATTTTTGTTTTAAAATCTGTTAGGTTGGTAATAATCCTAGTTAGATTATAATCGCTTACGGATATCATTTTGTTGCATCATTACAAATATTTCTCATCCATAACATATTTTCGTAACATTTTTAGATTTTGAGTTATTAAAAAATTTGTTCAAAGACTTCAATTAAGGGTTTTTGAGGTTTTATGGTTTATAACTAAAAAGACGAAATATTTGTAGAGAATTTTCTTGTGGATTATGATTTTGTGGTTTATTATAAACAATTTTCATCAATATAATTCTCATCCATAAAAATTAATTGTTGAGTTAAACACCGTTTTTTCTGCTAAAATCTTAAATGTTTTTGTTTTAAAATCTGTTAGGTTGGTAATAATCCTAGTTAGATTATAATCGCTTGCGCATATCATTTTGTTGGATCATTACAAACATTTCTCATCCATAACATATTTTAGTAGCATTTTCAGTTTTTGAGTTATTAAAAAAATTGTTAAAAAACGTCAATTAAGGGATTTTGAGGTTTTATGGTTTATAACTAAAAAGACGAAATATTTGTAGAGAATTTTCTTGTGGATTATGATTTTGTGGTTTATTATAAACAATTATCATCAACATAATTCTCATCCATAATTATTAATTGTTGAGTTAAAAACTGTTTTTTCTGCTAAAATCATAAATGCTTAAATGTTTTTGTTTTAAAATCTGTTAGGTTGGTAATAGTCCTAGTTAGATTATAATCGCATGCGGATATCATTTTCTTGTATCATTACAAAAATTTCTCATCTATAACATTTTTCTCTAGCATTTTCAGTTTTTGAGTTATTAAAAAAAATCTGGTCAAAAATGTCAATTAAGGGATTTTGAGATTTTATGGAATGGATGCTTTTAATCCAACATCCATTGGCGTGTAACCATTGACGGAGGTGGGGTTTGTAGCGCTACCGTCCAGAGAAGCAGATTCCAGTTTTTAATCTAACTATGTTCCTCCAGTTCAGGTTACTTAGGTTCGCTATGTCCATTTCTAGTATATTGCTTGGCCTTTTTGGGGAACCTAACCCTGGGTTGCATCACTAGGATTGTGAAATGATTTATATTCCCCATTTTTTTGTTGTCCAATTTTTCATGGTAGGTTTAAAATATTTGTTCCAACCTATCATAAGGTTTTAATTTGCAGTTTTAGCGTCATAACCTTCCCTTTTTCGAATATGGACTTTTTTCCATTACCAAATTGTCAATGTATTAAGAAGCAACTTCGATGGATTTTTCCGATTGCCAATTTAGTGTTTAGGACTTGTAGGGCATAGCTCTACTTCTGTTTTCTCTTTAAATGACATTTACATTGACACATGATATTTACGTTCTCTCGTTGGAAATCTGATGAACAATTTTTATCAATATGATTATTACAATTATTACTTATTATGCTAAAAACCATTTTCTTCTATTATGTTGGTAATAAAATGATTATGTTAAATTATACACATAATTTAACAGCAACCTAGATGACTTTTGAATTCTTTTTGACTATTTCCTGCGATATCAGCAGTTATATCATGAGATTAGTGGAGAGCACAAATTTGACGTGATTGAAACAAAATAAAAACTTGATACGAAGATGAGTTGTTGCGATGAAAGCTTATTGGAGAATTGATATCAGATATGATAGAGAGAATCATGCTTTCATAAGTTGCTCTCCAGAGCATTTCTGCATTCATCCTTGTTCTCAGCCATCTAGAATGTGTGCGCTAGACTTTGTCCCCCCTTTGTTAAATTTTGCAATGTTTTCATTCTTAAGCATTCTGCCCCAACAAAACATCTCCAGGGCATCGATTTTACAAAGATATGATGTAGTCTTGATATGCAGACTTGACATGGACTGGATTCTGTACATATTTGACTTAATATAAACATTATGAGGCGGCAATGCAGAGATATGTATACTTTATTTTAGTGCAACCTTGATGAGGATTTGATACAAAAATGATTTTAAGTACAATCTTGAAGCAATCTCGATGTGCTTCTAGATGTTTTGTTAATGCAGATTCGATAGAGATATGATGCAGTTTTTTGGAGACTTGACTTTGTTATACAAAACTTGACTAGTTCAAAATATAGTATGAGTAGAAATGTCAAATCAACAAATTTATTACTTTTTTTGCTAAAGAATTTTTTTAAAAACTTATTTCTCGTGAATGAATAAAGAAAAATACAAATAATTTTTAAAACAATTTTTATTAATACAAAAAACCAATCAATATATAATTCAACTAAACAATTAAAAAATAAATTAACCAACATTTTAATAGAGCGCATTTGAAAACACCCACATTAAAACACCTGTTCAAAACCGCGTTATGAACTTCTTGCAAAATGTATTCATTGTTATGCAATTGAAACAATACAAAGAGTTGGTGGTCGGATCGCGCGATTTGTAGCAAAAAAACAGTAGTCATGAGAGCAGTAGTAGATGTGTCATCAACTTTACATGCATTTTAAATACTCACAATTTACATACACTACGCGTATTGTTTCAAGAATACCGAGGTGAAGGGGCCTTTAAGAATTATTACAACCCAACAACAAACGTCGTTGTTCCAACTGCTCTTAAGATGACCTTGTCAATTTGCAAGATAGAATTTTTTCCTCGTTTAATCCTATCTTTGTAGAATAAAAATTTTTTTTATTTGAACTATCACATTTAACATGTAAAACATTTATTATTACTATCTTTTTTAATCTTTGGTTTAAGTTGTGCTTTACTTTTCTCATATACCTTGTTTTTAATTTATTTGTTGAACATAAATTGTAAACGCATCGTGTGGTGGTGATGGCGAAAACGTGACCTCACCGAATTCGGTGTAATCTTCGTATTTTAATGTGTAAACGCATTCAAATCCCAGTCTTGCTAATGCTCTTGCACTGTAATAACTTGTACAATCACCTCTCATAAGTCCAAAATCCTCCTCTTTAGCAATTTGTCTTAAACCAAAAAAAATGTCATAAAAAATAAAAGTACTCGATCTTACTGATAGGTGAAGGAAGGTCAAGTTTTTTAACTCGTTACTTAAATTAATCAAATTTTACCGATGGTAATCAGAGTAATAAATTAATAGACAGTTTTATACAAGGACCTACCTTAACACTTTGAGCCAATTTAAATTTAAAAATAACAAAAAAACTTTCGTTTCACCTTGAATTAAACAGCATAAAAATTAAGATAAAAAATATTTACCTTGTTCTATCCATAAGTTGTTTGGCAATCCCTCTCCCTCTAAAGCTACCATCAACTGATAAAATTTTCACGCAAAGCACCTTATCAACATCAGTAAATTTCTCAAAAATCTCACTCATTTTATCGGCGTATCTCAAAAACCGGATAATTTTCAAAAATTTCTCGTTACCATGAACATCGTTGTCGTTATCATCGTTACAATTCTCCCGATTTTCATTTCGACGAATAATCCCGTTTAAACAAACGCCAATTATTTGACCGGACGCCGAGACGGCCATCAAAGAAATTCCGTCTTTTATTGTTTGCACGGAATACTCCTCCAATTCCGGACACGTTCCGTTTTCATCATCTAAAAGCTTCACATAGGTATTTAACGGTTCATCTCGAAAGAAAAATTTTCTTAAGAAACGTATCACGTTGTTGTAATCCTCTTCTTTTATTGGTTTTATCGAGTAATCATCTTTCGGTGATATTTGAAATAGTGGTGTTGTTGGTGTCGATGATGTTGAGGAATTGTCCAAAGACTAGAAACAAAGAAAAAAAATTTGTGGTTTAGAAATTGTTTTGTTTTGTTAAATGTCAAGGATAAATTTATTTATTATTAGGTTTTTAACCCTGCATTATCTAGATGAATCATCATTATTACTAAGTTTACTAACTTTTGCTTAACAATATTGCTCTCTTGCACTTTTGCTTTGAAATGCGTCAATATCAAGAAAAATACGAAAATACGAGAATTGGATGAATTTGTTGCTTTTTCAAGTTGTTAATGGTAACACTTGAGAAACGGAGCATATTACAAAAAAACTTTTGGAACAATAGTTATTGCAAATTTTATTCTTATCAATATTGCTTTCTTGAATTTTAGCTTTAAAATACGTCAATAACAAGAAATATACAAAAATATGAAAATTGGATGAATTTGTTGCTTTTCAAGTAGTTAATGGTAACACTCAGAAAACGGAGCATGTTATAAAAAAACTTTTGGAACGAAATTTGTAGCTAATTCTATTCTTAACAATATTGCTTTGTTGCACTATTGGTTTAAAATGCGTCAATAGCAAGAAATATATAAAAATATGAAAATTGTATGAATTTGTTGCTTTTCAAGTAATTAATGGTAACACTCAGGAAACGGAGCATGTTATAAAAAAACTTTTCAAACGAAAGTTGTAGCTAATTCTATTCTTAACAATATTGCTCTGTTGCACTTTTGGTTTAAAATGCGTCAATAGCAAGAAATATGCAAAAATATGAAAATTGTATGAATTTGTTGCTTTTCAAGTAGTTAATGGTAACACTCAGGAAACGGAGCATGTTATAAAAAAACTTTTGGAACGAAAGTTGTAGCTAATTCTATTCTTAACGATATTGCTTTGTTGCACTTTTGGTTTAAAATGCGTCAATAGCAAGAAATATATAAAAATATGAAAATTGTATGAATTTATTGCTTTTCAAGTAATTAATGGTAACACTCAGGAAACGGAGCATGTTATAAAAAAACTTTTGGAACGAAAATTATAGCTAATTTTATTCTTAACAATATTGTTCTCTTTCATTTTTGCTCTCAGATGCATCAATATCGACAAATATACGTGTATACGAAAATTGGATGAATATGTTGCTTTTCAAGTAGTTAATGGTAACACTCAAGAAACGGAGCATGTTATAAAAAAACTTTTGGAACGAAAGTTGTAGCTAATTCTATTCTTAACAATATTGCTTTGTTGCACTTTTGGTTTAAAACGCGTCAATAGCAAGAAATATACAAAAATATGAAAATTGTATGAATTTGTTGCTTTTCAAGTAATTAATGGTAACACTCAGGAAAAGGAGCATGTTATAAAAAAACGTTTGAAACGAAAGTTGTAGGTAATTTTATTCTTAACAATATTGTTCTCTTTCACTTTTGCTATCAGATGCGTCAATATCGACAAATATACGTATATACGAAAATTGGATGAATATGTTGCTTTTCAAGTAGCTAATGGTAACACTCAGGAAACGGAGCATGTTATAAAAAAACGTTTGAAACGAAAGTTGTAGGTAATTTTATTCTTAACAATATTGTTCTCTTTCACTTTTGCTCTCAGATGCATCAATATCGACAAATATACGTATATACGAAAATTGTATGAATATGTTTCTTTTTCATGTTAATGGTAACACTCGGGAAACGGAGCCTATTATAAAAAAACTTTTGGAACAATAGTTATTGCAAATTTTATGACCAATAATATTCCTCTCTTGCACTTTTGCTTTTAGATGCGTCAATATCGAGAAAAATACAAAAATATAAAAATTGTATGAATTTGTTGCTTTTTTAAGTTGTTAATGGCAACACTCGGCAAATGGAGTATGTTATAAAAAAACTTTTAGACCAAAACTTGTAACTAATTTTATTATTAACAATATTGTTCTCTTGCACTTTTGCTCTCAGATGCGTCAATATCGAGACAAATACGAAAATTGTGATGAATGAACTTCGTTGTTTTACAAGTTGTTTACAGAATGGCTTTCTAAGACGTAGATCATTGTGTCTTCACATTACAGCAAATAATAGAAAAGAGAAGGAAGCAAAATATAGAAACATCGCATTTAATTCAGCAAATTGTGGTCAATACTGGAAAAAAGAGGTTTTCCTGATCACTTATGCAAAGCAATAAAGAACCTTTACAGACACACCGCTATAACAATAAACACTATCTCAGACGAAGACTTGGATTTGATCTACATTAATCAAGGAGTAAGACAAGGCTGTTTTCTGTCATCGCTTTTATTCAATTTGTATATGGATGATCTAATCAAAAAATGGAAGGATCAAGTTCCAAATGGCATCCGAATACACTATAACAACATCCTGAAAACACTAAAATAACAAGATTTTAAAATCAAAAGTTTTAATGAGTACTCAATATCTTGCTACTACTTCCACATTGCTTAAAAGAGAATTAACAAAAGGTCGGCCATAAAGCTGTTTTCTTCTCAAGGCCAATTTAATTTCCAAGAAGACATGAAGAAACAATTCGAGATTAAAATTGCAAAAATGTCGAAATTTATCTGCAATATTAAAAATATTCTATAAAATGCGAATACACGAGTCGTGTCTTATCGCTCTAACTATTTACAGATACTATTACAGTCGATCGTAATCGATAACACGAGATGTATCTGTTTCGATTGAATCGAATTCCTCTTGGTGTGACTTATCGTAAATCTAAAGTTGGCCTGCGCTTTCAATTTGATAGATTTATGATAAAGAAAAACATCGCGTGAGGATTGAAATGTAATGGATTGCTTCAAAGCGTAGATTAAAATTTATAAGAAGTAGGTAGTTTTATATTTATGGTACAAAAACAAACATTAAAAGATCCTATTTTCTATGGATAATCTTATGCAGATCGTTGTATAAATGAATATAAACTGTTTATTACATTAAAATGAACGCCTCTCGATCGATGTTTTTCTTTCAATAAAAAAGTTGTTTACTAAGTAACAGATTATCTTTATTAAAACTTTTTATTCGATGAGAATTTGTCAACTAAATTAATCAATTAACACTTTATATTCTATTATACAGGGTGTTCCGTGACTCGACCGACAAACTTATACCATATATCACCTCTTTGTTTCGAAGATATTGAAATAGAAATAAAAAAGAAAAAAAAAAAATAAAAATGATAAAAGAAAATTTATTAATTTACTAATTATAATTATAAATAGTGTCATAGAATGTTGCTAGTTAATTTCTTTAGCGAATTAGTAGTTTCAACTATTCTGTCAATCAGCTCTTCGCGTGTATCTGGTTTACCATTACTATTATACACACGAGATTTGAGGCAACCCCACAGAAAATAATCTAGAGGCGACAAGTCAGATGACCGAGCTGGCCAATGTACAGGACCACCTCGTCCTATTCATCTTTCCCGAAAATTTTGATTAAGAAATACCGTCATTAAAGCAAAAGGTTTGCTGGAACCACATGCCACGATGAACTTCTAGAGGACTATCTTCTTTATAATTCGGCAATACTTCTTCCAAAAAGTGAAGGTTAGTTTCTGCACTAAGACGTCTTTAAAAAAAATGAGTCCCAACAAGTTGATTATTTAACAAGCCGCACCACACGTTCACAAAAAAACGATATTGATGGTTAACAACGATTGCTTCGTGTGGGTTTGGATCCGTCCAGATGTAAGAATTATGTGTGTTGTTAATACCATTCCTTGTAAACTAAGCCTCATCCGTAACGCAGGAAGTAAATGCTGGACTTTGTGTAAATGATAGAGATAAAGTCCATCATAGTGCAGAACTCTCCATACGGTGGTTTGAGGAATTCCCGTTGTATGAGATATTCTACGAATACTGGTAGAAGGACTTCGTTCAACTGCATTTAAGACTGCTTCAGACAGCATAAAAATCATTAATTTATCCAACGTTAAATCGTCAAGACTATCACTTTTTTTAATTCCTTAGATATCTCCGAAATAAAGAGGAATTCACCTATAAGTGATATACTATTTTTTGATCGTAATGACTCCCTGAATATTTAATATATGATACCCATATGATATTAGCTTTTTTATTGCCGCTTCAATCATCTTCACCCAGCTCATCTCCACATTAATATCTTGGATCAATTTTTTCCTAGGCCTACCTCTTTTGTTTCTTTCTTCTGGCACCCAGTTCCAAACCTTAATTGGGATTCTCTCTTTACTTATTCAGCATAGATATCCATACCATTTTACTTGCTTTTCATTTATAGTGTCTACAGGGTGTTTCGGTGACTCGGGGAACAAATGTAACCACATATACTAGAGTGAAAATGATGACGATTCATGTAAAAAAAAATTAGTAAAAGTCCTCAAATTGCAAAGATACAGGCCATCAAAGTTATGAAATTTTAACACATTTTTGTAAATATCTTAAACACTATTTATGGTAAAGCGTTGAAATTTGGTACAGCGTAAACTAACATCACGTAAAATCATTAGGCAATTTTTGAGATGGATCGGTACGCGGGAACAATGCTATACAGGCTGTTCGTAAAGTTTGTTTGCTCAGAACTTTTTTATTCTATCATAACCCTACATTTATTTTTGCATTTTCTAATAGTAAATTTAGTTTAGAAACTTTTATCACTCTTAGAGAATATTGATAAAAACCACCGTTTCCGTATTAAATGCAAAAATGTTAGGCTCCGAATTCAATAACACTAAAAAAAAAAATAAATAAATAATTTGAATTAGCAATGACAAGTGAAAATCGAACTGAGCTGTCATAACTATTATGTATGCAACATGTCCAAGTGTAGATTTAGCTAAATCACATTTTTAATTTGTTTTAGTTGGTTTAATAAAAGAACTCAAAAACAATAAATTAAAAATCAACACTAACAGGAATAATAAAAAAAGTACATAAAATAACAAGACAAGTAATAAAAAATACTAAAGGATGTTCAAAAACTTAGATTTCTTTTTTTTAGTAATAGCACTATTGAAATCGGAACCCAACATTTTTGGATTTA